CATTATACACTGTGTGCTGTCACCTAGCATGTCACATCAGTTGGATCATGAGCATTCATCAATAATAAATAAAACTTTATTCAAAGAATATTGAAATCGATCAGAACATTAGATTTTCGACTAATTTTCTCAGTCATGGTGATGTTATTTCAATACTCTAACACATAAAGAGCTGAAGAGTGTTTAAGATTTCTCACTATACATATCAGTGAGAAAGGAAACACTTACCTAACATAAAGATCTTCAGTATTTTTGATACTGTACAAGTATCAACTACCTATGGTATATCAAAATCTGAACACCTGACTTGTCTACACGTCCAATTTTACGGATGAACAAAAGGAATTATATTTTTTGAAAAGTAAGTGATTGTTTCGAAGTAAATTACAATTTCAAGAAATGTTTCCGCGAATCCAAGTCAATGCACAATCACATAACTGACATATATTATCTCATCTATCATTTTGTAACATTATGTACGCTTAAGTGAATTTTATCAACGTGAGGACGTGAAGGACATCCGTCCTCCATCATTTTAAATAATCAACAGAGAATTCACGTATAGAACAACGTCATTTGATACTAGAAGCTAAATTTCATTCAATTATTTACTGAAATTGCACATGAAATTTTCAATTTTGGAAACAAAATTGATGCAATCAACTGTGAAAATAGTCATTTTTGATACAATAAGGTTTAACATTACCCCCGAGGGCTTCATACTCAACTAACGTTCTACTTCGGATCCATTTTCCAGGAACATTTATTTCGGTTTTATTCAAACCTTTTGAAATAAATTTTACAGTGGAAAACAAGTGAGATTTTGTTTAACGAGCGGATGTTAAGAAATTAAAGCAACTTTTCTGAATATTCATGATGAAGATATTCATACATCATAGTTATATTACTCAGTGTACCAGGTTAGGTGTGTGTCGGCGGATGTGAATCGTGAAATTCAATGTTTACGGAGTTCAGCATATAATACAGAAACAACAGCAATACGATTTCCTCAAAACAACGACAATCGTTTTTGTGACACTAACAAGGATGACGGTTGTTCAAATGAAGACATAGATACTTGATTTAAATTCAGATAAATTCAGTGGTTCACCGTATTAATGACTTGATCAAAGGACGCGGTTTTTTCAGGACTAGTTTGCATCTTGATTTATAATCACAAATGATGCTGAAACTTCGCTTCAATATGTGGAAACACACCATCCACGTTGAATTTTTAATAAACAGTAGTGTTTGGACAATGTGTTTACCACAAGTATTCAGATTTTATTTCACACGTTTTTCATCAACACTTCAATGACACTTTGACCAATCTGTTTTCACACGAAACCACTGAATAATGTAGACTGTAAGAAAGATATATTGGATCACCATGACATAATTCAGCAAATTTCTGTATTGACGTGGTGATCAAAGGCTACACACAGAAGTTAATATTAGGCTAACACATGACTGCTTGTGTAGGCCAGTGTAAATCAGAATGTAAATAACGTTTATTACCTTCTCTGCACCAAACAGTGCCCAAAATAAACGACCGCTTTTCGGTTTCGCCAGTTACCTTAGGAATCTGAAAAGAAGTAACGGAAGTCTGAGTAAATATCAAAGTCAACCAATCACTGAAGGAATGTGTCGTCATTCACATCACTTTGCACAAAGGCAACTAGTTACACAGTAAGCATACTGATATTCTCAGTTTCTGCAGTAGTGTGACTCATCTAGTCTACGAGGATAATCTGACTCACTTCAGTTGTCAACTTCACTGAAATCCAGCGGACGATCTATCTATTATGCAATGATGCGCTACACTGTGAGATGAATATCTACGTCACTTGACGGAAGTGTGATTGTGAGCAACTGAATTGCTGCTGCACATGAATTTTTTGTCATATAAAGGAATTGTGGTAATGTGCTCACTTCCATTCATCACCATACATGCAACTCCTGATTACCTCGAAGGAATCAAAATGGATTCAGTTCAACACAAATGAAATCTTTCATCTCACCTGCTCTTTTCTAGTTACCACACATCTATTGTATTTCAAATTGGTGAAGTATTAAATGCAGACATTCGAACAAGTACACAATGAGAGACGATCAAAGTTTTAACAATTTATCTCACAGATTATTTGACAATGAAATTTTCAATTAGCTGAACTTCAGAAGACGTAATTAAGCTTGATGGAAAATGACTGTGTTGGAAAGTACTATATAATACACTGTTTGTCCTTAATCGGCCCAAATATGTCAGATTGTCACTTCCTATAATTCATTGTTTTAAAAAAAGTGCTGGAATAACGTGTGTCATTACGGAGTTATTAAAAGAGTCGTATAGTTTGTGTGCACGTTAAAAAATGTTGATATCCTTCTATCGTGTTGCATTCGACAGTGTTGATTTGCGCATTGTAAGATAACAATCCGAATTACATGAAAAAAACTAGATTACTATTCAATTGTGCAACTTACGTTCTTATAATAGATTGATATCTTCCCATTCGGATGTATCAGAGTAGTTATACTGTATGTAGGGACTGCAAGCAAAAGACTATTGTTATTTAGAATGTAAGGTATTATTGATAATCATGTCGTTGTTGGATGCGAATTTTTATGTGCCTACGTGAAAAGTGATCAGTTTTAGGCACGTATTTTCTTCGTTATCTCAAATGTTTTCTTCGGTAGAATTCGTTATAAATATAATCTAGTGAACACCGTGTAAATGAAACAAACATGCATCCTTCAATATAAATATCTGATAACTACTTTCCGAAGCTGTATTACAACCCCGTTTTCATATCGAAATAATAAATCATCGGGCTTCTAATTAAATCTGATAGTTGAATAGGTATTGAAATTTGCTCAACACTCTCTATAATTACTCCTGAAAAAATCGACCCTTAGTACACATGACATTAGCTATGGTTTGTTTGTTTACAAATAGAACATGGTTACTTCGTTATGCAACGCATTGCTTTGTCAGTGTTTGGTAACGATGGAAAATGAATAGCTTCAAATTATTCTACTTGATGAATTCTTAATTTGAATGAATAATTTTTATGAATGACCAAGTAATGAGTGACACTAATCTACTTATTTCGGAATACAGACTTCTGATCAAGCAGCATTGAAGGCTGTTGACGAAGATGAATCTCTACATTTGCTTTTTTATCAGTGAAATGAGTTTATGATCCAATTTATTCATACGGATTTATTTATTACACGTCAAATCTAGTATGATCCAGATTATGTCAACTGTCCTTCAGATCTCAATCAATGTGTTCAAACAATCGATGGATTCCACATGTAATTCCTACTTCCTAATTTTCTGAGATGATTACACATTATTACCGCTGTCAGTTTTTGAAAAGAATTCAGTGATGTGAAATGAACAGAAAATGTGTAAGCAAGTACTACGAATGATGGTGTAGGTGGTTAAATATTTCATGTGTAATCAAATAATCATTTTATGGATACATACTTTTATCATCAGCTTTTTGATAATAAGACTTTCTAACGGCTAATAATTCCCCTGAAATGATGAAAGTAAAAATATTTGTGTTTTTATGAATATATATAATGAATATTCATAGAGAATGAGTTTGGACGCGAGTTATCATCTTTATTTCAAGATTTAAGTAAACCGGTTCAATTAAATGGGAGTTGAAAGGAGACTCATAATTATTTCAACGATATGATGGATGTTTCAATCCAACCAACTGAGAAGAATATTCTACTTCCGAAATGTTGATTTTAAAAACTTTAGACAATCTAATAGACCGATAATATCTAAACGACAGTACACATATCAAATCATTTTCTGACATTGTGTTATTCCAATCGAGCAGTGTTCCCTCAATAAAACTAATTATTAGTCAGAAATTCTACTTCCATGTCAATAAATGCAATAACTGAACAAAATAAGTGAACTTCATTTCGATTTTCTAGTTGTTCCGGGTCGAATCAATTATGTTATACCAGTGCACTATTTAAGGTAATTTTTTATCACCTGTCATTATTAGTACTGGTGGATGTTTTAGATCCACACGAATAAAATAGTCAAAACTGTGGTGAATACACAGTGGTTCACAAATAGTGACTAAGAGACAGTAATTCTTTACGAAGTAAATAAAAAAAACATTCCGACATCATCAAATATAATTTGGTGGTCCATGTGATTTAATAATCCAAAATGATTTGTTAAACAACATGGTTTATTATTGTGCATCTGTCCAACTAAATTTGTTTGATTTATTATTTCTACCCAATCAACTTGCGTTTATTTCAAAGTGAATCATCTTTTTCACTTGACAGTAATGAATATGTGTTGTGAACACATTTTAGAGCATCAAATCATACAAGCAAATTAATCACTGCGTACTGGTCAGCCCTCATGAATTATTCAGAGGATGTATTGAATCATTTATGCAAAATCAAAATGAGAACTGAAAGACAAAAAATATTATCACCGGATATAAGAGGTACTCACGGTCATACGATACATAATTTTTCACATGAAAACTGCTTCTCGCATAACTGTAAATTGCTCCTAAGTACTCTTGATTGTACATAAAAATTCTCCCTGTGTTTATCCAATGAAAACATGAAATTTAATTGACAATCTGCGTAAAATGTGATCGATAAACGAACCCACTAATAATAAAGGGAAACGCCCACCACCACATCAACTCCCTTTGACCTTGTACGACTGTATCTTTTTGTTAACCAATCACAGTTTAATGTCCATTGTAAAACAATATTTGCTTATTGACTCATTTTTCCTATTCTCTGGCTACTGTTCGGTATGTTATTGTCTCTTTTTCCATGTATTAATAGACTGTACTGTTTCGTTTGCACACTAACGATGTTAATTTATGTTTTAGAAACAGATAAAGTTTATATAGCCAAATAGCTTACTTGTTCTGACTTTGACCAAACCAAGACTCTGTATTCGACGCTCTAGAGAATAGCTTAGAATTAAACCTGTAGGAAATTGCTCCCTACAAAGTTTCGAACAGTATCTCATCAAAGTTTCGTACATTGGGTACCTTTAGATGTCTGTGGAGAGTCGTAAAACTGATCATATTTCCGAATTGTCTCCTCATTATTCAGAAACCCATAGTGATGAACAGCTCGGAGGAAATACCTATCAAATGGATCCCTTGTTAGAGTTAGAATTAGCTAAAGTACGTTTAGCTCTGACAGAAAAGGAAATCGAGCTAGAACGGTTACGCCAAAAAGGAAGAGAACATTATAATCAAGTTATGGCTGACAAGGCGATGACGTATGAGTGTACATCTGTCGTTGATGTTCCTCCTAGAAAAGACTGGGTAACAATGATGTCTAGAGCTTTAGACCTCCCAAAGAAAGAGATTATAAGATTTGATGGTAACCCTATGAACTATTGGAGCTTCATACGGAATTTTGAGGACTGTTTTGACGAGAGCATTGGGTTCCGATCTAGGTTAAACTATTTGATCCAGTACTGTGATGGTTAAAGCTAAAAACACTATTGTTCATTGCGCATTGTCTGAGCCAGAAGAAGGCTATCGTAAAGCACTAGAACTTCTCGAGGAAGCATTTGGTCAGAAATATATAGTAGCTCATGCATTTATTAATAAGATGCTGAACATCCCTGCCATTAAAGGGACCGATCCATATAATTTAAGAAGGTTGTCTCGTGAGATGCATATTTGTGAGCTAACACTCACGCAGATGAACTATGTATCTGATCTTAATTCCACAAAGACTATTGAATGCATGTTTTTAAAACTAACGTTACACCTGCAAAGAGAATGGGTTATAGTTGCGTGTAGAATTCTTAAGACAGGCAGAGAACCTTCACTCAAGGACCTTTGTGAAGGAGCAGTCGGACATTGCTAATTCTAGGTACGGCTTACTTGTCAACCGCGGTAGTAATAGTGGCTATAAAGATGTTGGTGTTTTAAAAATGAAATTTAGAACGGATAACAATGCAGCAAGAATATCTTATGCGAGTGCTAGTGATGGTAATTCTCTCTTACGCAGTTCATCTTGTTTGGAGTGCTCCAGTAATCATTCCTTAGATCAATGTCAAAAATTTAAAGACAAGAATGTTAGAGAAAGGAAGGAATTCGTTCTTAGGCACAAGTTGTGTAATGTTTGCCTTTAGGCAAACCACGTAGCAAAATACTGTCGATCGCCGAGGTCGTGTGCTGTCGAAGGGTGTGGCTGGAAACACCATACCCTGTTATACCAGTTGCGGGAAGAACCAAGGAATACTAATATTGATGCACACATTAACACCCAGCTATGTACGGAGGAAAGTGTTGAGCGTGTACAGAAACAAGCAGCATTCACAATAGTGCCTGTACTGGTAAGAAATGGAGAAAAGGTAGCACAGACTTGTGCCTTCTTAGATAGTGGGTCGGATGCCTCACTCATTACAGAAGATCAAGCTAAAAGGTTGAATTTAGAAGGAGAGCCTAAGATGATTTCGTTGAAAACGTTGGATAACCATTCCACAATTCAGTGTAAAGAGGTTCAACTAGAGGTTTCCTCCTTAGACTCGTCTTCGTCATTTAGAATCCCAAACGTATGGACAGTCGAGAGATTACCTATGTTGCGCAGAACGGTACCAACGATGTCTCAAATGAAATCCTGGACGCATTTAAAAGACGTAAGTTTTCCTGGAGTAGAGGATGAGAATGACAAACTGTTGATAGGGTGCAATTCACCGAGTGTACACGAAATGAAAAAGATAAGAACCGGAAAGCCGAACGAACCATTTGCCGAGAAGACTCCGTTAGGTTGGACGCTGTTCGGTTCCTATAGGGAACCTTGTAAAAGCAATTGTGCACTCAACCACCTCTCAGCTAAAGAGGAATTAGAGGATAAGTTCGAACAGTTGTACTCGACTGAATTCAAAGATCCATTTAGTCGTACTATATCGATGTCTGTAGAAGACCGTATAGCACTCGGTGCTATATCAAATTCAGTACAAAGGTTAAACGGGCACTATCAAATAGCTCTACCTTGGAGGCACAAACACAAGTTACCTAATAACAGAGAATTAGCAGAACGTAGACTTAGCTGTTTGAAAGGTAGACTTATTCGGGATAAGAAGTTGTTCCAAGACTATGTAGACTCCATGACTCGGTATGTAGAACGAGATTACGCTGAAAAAGTAAACGATAACTACTCTGATGGGCGAATTCGGTATCTTACTCATCATCCAGTTTTCCACCCCAAGAAACCTAACAAGCTAAGAATAGTGTTCGATTGCGCAGCTCAGTATGCTGGAACGTCTTTAAATAAGAACCTTTATTCTGGGCCTGATTTAGTCAATAGCTTAGTAGACGTTTTCACCAGATTCTGGCAACGATCAGTTGGACTTACGGCGGACATTGAAGCCATGTTCCACCAAGTAATAGTCCCGCAGCCTGATCGAGATGTTCTTAGATATTTGTGGTGGCCAGGTGGAGGCTTAGAAAAGGAACCCGAGATATATAGAATGAAAGTTCATCTGTTCGGGGCAACTTCATCGCCATGTTGCGCCACCTTTGCTTTACAGAAAACGATTTCTGATAATCAAGATAAATTACCCAGGGCTGTTACGCAAGCAGCTAAAGAACAGTTTTATATGGATGATTTATTGGTAAGTGTGGATACCATAGAAGAAGCCAAACTGACATATTCGCACTTTAAAAGACTCCTAAGTTTGGAAGGATTTAACTAAACTAAATGGACTAGCAATAGCGTTGAAGTGCTGGAGTTCATTCCAGAACAAGACTGTGCTGAAGGAAGCATTATTGTCTGTGAATCCAAGTAAACGAACTCTGGGAATAGAGTGGAACGTTCTAACAGACGAGTTATGTTTCAAAGTTCACGAATTTCATGGAAACCCCACCAGAAGGAAAGTTTTATCGTATGTAGCATCTATCTTTGATCCAATTGGGTTTGTAGCCCCAATAATATTACCAGCTAAAGTGATCTTACAAGATACTTGTCGTCAGAAAGTAGACTGGGATGCCGAGTTACCCATAGATTGTCAAGCAAAGTGGAATAATTGGTGTAGACATCTAAAAGGGTTAGACCACTTAAGAATATCAAGATGTTTGAAATCAGGGTTTGAACCATCATCTGCGCAAATTCATTGTTTTGCCGACGCCTCCGAGCTTGCGTATGGTGTTGTTGCGTATATTCGTTATGAAAGTGTTTCTGGTCAGATCCATTGTTCATTCCTGCTAGCTAGGTCTAGGGTTGCTCCTCTAAAACTTGTTACTATACCCAGAATGGAATTAACAGCCTGCGTTTTGTGTGCTAAGGTTGGAAGGCACATAAGGGAACAGTCAAGTATCCCCATTTTGTCAGTCATTTATTGGACCGATTCGACAGTTGTGCTTCATTGCATAAAAAATACGACTAAAAGGTTTGAAAGGTTTGTGAGTAAAAGGTAAGAAACTATACACAAATTGTCTACGCCGAGCCAATGGAGATATGTGAAAGGTAAATTGAATCCTGCAGACCACGCGTCTTGTGGATTATCACTAAATGATAAGGCTAAGGTAAGAGAGTGGTTACAAGGGCCGAAATTCTTGTGGGAGGAAGAAAATAAGTGGCCTAACCTAGAAAAGATTGAGAACACTATAGCCCATGTATTGACAGAGGATTTCAAACTCACAAGACACGATAATGAGTTCCTAGATCGATTTCGTACCTGCAAGTCGTGGTCCAGACTTCTAAGGGTATTTTCATACTGCAGACGGCTTATCAATAATATGTTAAACAAGAGGAACGGTAATCGTCTAACCTTAGGTGCGCTAAGTGCTGAGGATATCAAAAATTCGAAGAGTGACATAATTAAATTAGTCCAAAGTATCGCGTACCCCTCCAAAAAAAGAATTCTAAACAGCTCACCGTTGACGCTTGGAGAAAACGCTTTTAGACAGCAAAAAGGTCAAGAAGCAATGGACGAAGTGAACAGGAGAAAAAAATTAATTCTTCAAAGTTCTATAAGAAATCTCAACCCTTTTATGTTTGAAGGCGAAATCCGCGTGGGAGGACGTTTGCATTTATCATGTTTACCCTTTGAAACCAAATATCCGATTATTCTTCCTAATAATCATTTTGTTACAGATATGATTATAATGCGTTATCATGTGATTAACGCACATGTTGGAGTTACTCAAACTCTGAGTAGTATTCGTGAGGAGTATTGGATTGTGAGAGGATATTCTACTGTTCGGAAGGTTCTAAAACGATGCTTTTTATGTAGAAGACTTTATCCTAAACCATGTTCCCAATTAATGGCACCGTTGCCGGAATACCGAGTAGAGACTCATTCGCCACCCTTTAGTCAAGTAGGTGTGGATTACTTCGGACCGTTCTACGTCAAACGTGGTAGAGTTGTCGAGAAACGTTATGGCTGTTTATTCACCTGCTTATCTATTAGAGCCGTTCACATCGAAATGGCCTACTCTTTAGATACGGATTCATTTCTATGCACGTTATCAAGATTTATTGTCAGAAGAGGATGTCCAAAGCGTATTTTTAGTGATAACGGCACAAACTTCCGAGGTGCAGATGCCAGTTTGAGACAGATTATACGGTCCTGGAATACTAATAAAATAGAAAACCATCTTAAAGAACGAGAATGTGAGTGGCGTTTTAACCCACCTAGAGCAAGTCATAGAGGTGGTGTGTGGGAACGCATCATAAGATCAATTAGAAGAATCTTAAGAGTGCTTTTATTCAAAAACGTGTTGACCGATGAAACTCTGCAAACCTTCTTAACTGAGGCGGAACGGATACTGAATGACAGACCTCTGGTTTAGATGACAGATGATCCTGGTACTTACTCCGAACAAGTTGTTGTTGATTCATAAAACATTATCATCCGACGATGCTTTGGTGGATAAGACGTTATTATACAACTAAAGATGGAAGGAAGCTCAAAGACTAACCGCCGCATTCTGGAATAGATGGATAAAAGAATATTTACCGACTCTCCAAGCAAGAGACAAATGGTTGGACGTACACAAAAACTTACAACCAGGTGACTTAGTCCTCGTTAGTAACTTCGAAATGAATGGAGGTCTATGGCCTAAGGCTATAGTCGAGCAAGTAAGCTATGGCCCGGACGGACGAGTCCGCACGGCAAAGTTGAGAACTTCAAACGAAGAAATCGTCAGAGATGTGCGAAGCCTATGCCTGCTGGAAGAAGCCGGTTGTCTGACGGCGAAGACGGCCCTGGACAATGGACGTGGTGTGCGTTTCGGGGGGAGTGTAAAATATGATCGATAAACGAACCCACTAATAATAAAGGGAAACGCCCACCACCACATCAACTCCCTTTGACCTTGTACGACTGTATCTTTTTGTTAACCAATCACAGTTTAATGTCCATTGTAAAACAATATTTGCTTATTGACTCATTTTTCCTATTCTCTGGCTACTGTTCGGTATGTTATTGTCTCTTTTTCCATGTATTAATAGACTGTACTGTTTCGTTTGCACACTAACGATGTTAATTTATGTTTTAGAAACAGATAAAGTTTATATAGCCAAATAGCTTACTTGTTCTGACTTTGACCAAACCAAGACTCTGTATTCGACGCTCTAGAGAATAGCTTAGAATTAAACCTGTGGAAAATTGCTCCCTTCAATCTGTAGAGAATGAATCAAAGACTTTTAGTTTAACTGGAGACAAAATGAGTTTCATGGACCAAAGTAAAAATTCCGTACGGCTTTAAACTTTTTACTACTTGAACAAAATAAGATATCAGTAGACGTTTTGAATCCTAGAATGAGCATCAAACTGATTTACTAAAGAAATTAAAGCAACTTCGGTCCACGGAATGAAATAGGAATAAACAAAATTC